CCTGAAGGCAGCCGGCTTGAGTCCTGTCACAGTATGGTAATGCATCCGCTTATTTTACAGATAATTCTTAAATAACGGTCTCATTTATTTGTGATTATGAGTTTTGCTTCTTGCTACCTAGTTGACCATTTCTTCTTCATGACGAATGTCAGTTCAGCTCTGTTCATGCAGATGATATAACGATTGTTTTACTTGACCCACAGCGCTTCTCTGACATACATAGGTACCAGTAACCTAGGTTTACTAGGTGAGTTGTGCAAAAATGTCACATTTAAGTCGTCTTAAGTTCACCAACTGAAAATAGTTAATTATATTTTGTTAGTTTTGTCCATCAGCGGATCCATGTTCTCAACCATAGTTGACCATGACTTTTTGCGCCTGAAATTCGTTGCATCTAAGAGCACCTGTTTGCTAGGCGCATGATTATCGATAAGATCAAACGAGTGTTTTCTTGGAGATGTATCTGTTACCACATTTTTGGTAAGTCAGAATCCCGCATTCTCAGTAGGTAGCCAGTACCTAACGGTTCAGTAGAAGTACGGCTTGCTTCATTGAGTTACACTGTCGATCGACTGGTGATTTACTTTCGTCCATAGTTGTACTACGAAAGGTCGTATCGCAGATCATCTAGCTTTGAAGAAAGAACTAATATGAAAATATTGTGTCTAAAAATTCGGCATCTTTACTACAAGAAGCATGTCATTTATCAGTCAATCATTCTGTTTATTATTTTCTGTCAGCGAATGCCAGACGAGTGCGCAGTTTGTTATATATGCTATTCGTTTTTTGCATTTCCGTGTGTTCACAACTGCTCAAGCTCGCATGTGTGCTGCCCCTGACGCAACATTGCTTTTGGCGTAGTTGTGGCTTTTCTCATGTTCATTATTTTGTTCGGACTTTTCAGAGTGCATTTGATCAGTTGAGCCATGAACAGCTGCGAAACGCGCGCGGCCGCGCCAATCCTTTCGAACTGGTTAGGGGCGCATTTTTTCAAAATCGGTAAGTTGTTTCTGTGTAACTTAAATGTTATCATCGTCGTTTTCTTACTTGTCCATCTTTATCCATGTCGTTTTTTCTTTTTCATCATCGTGATAGTGACCATTATTGTTATCATCGTTATCATAATATTAGCATTCAATGTCTGTCATTATAATCATCTCTGCTACCCATCATCATTGCAATCTTCTTCATGATTATCTTCATCAGCGTTATCATTATGGTAAATTATCATTATAAATCATCATTTGTACGGCGTATTGTTTTAGGGCTGCAATGAAAATGGCCAATTTGGACGCAGTGTTTGGCTTCCTTTTCTCTGACCCGAAAACATCCAATAACGTAATTACGGCTATAATATACGTTATGTGCTGATTATCCTTCGATTCCGTGTGGCATATTTATCATAGTTAGTTATCAGATTTCGGTGATTATCAGCCTGCTACAGATGATAAGTTATGCTGCAGTGCTTTAACATAGAGATAACTTCCACTCTGACCATCAGTGGCATGATGGTACAGTATTTGGAAGGTCTGCTTCGAACTCGGGAGGTAACGGGATATATTCTGCTCTAGGGCAATGTCTTGTTAACGAATCCCCTTAATGAACGAATTTACCACACATTGATTCACACCAGGAATGCTTTGTCGGTAGAATGTCGAACTCAGAACAGATAGGTTCCGGGTTCAAACCTTGGGTAGTGTCATTTGCTCTTCTTCCTTCCGAGGCTGATAAGTCAGTACCATTTAGTGGAAGCTAAACACTAGAATACGCGCTACGCTTTCCACATGGCTGTATACTCTCACTTTAAAATAAGGTACTTCTGGATGATGGCATAGAAACTGCGATGAACACTGTACAAACAACTTCATGAAAAGAAGGGTTCCAAAAGGCCAGTGATGAAAATGAAGACAGATCGACATTTCAGCAATGACACACTTCTTTCTCCTTTCTTGACGATTCTGATGATTTAAAGTGCTGTTGGATTGAAGGTTTGGCGATTCTAGTTAATGAGAGATGACAATGGATTCCATGTGCTTAAAAAATCATGAAGTCGTAAGTATTACGTAATGATGAATTATACACTTGATTATTGGTCGCGATTATGTTTATAGTATATTATTCAAGGAAAGGATTTTTAACTTTTCTTAAATTGAATTACAGAATTGTGGTACAAAACTGTAGTTCTAAATTTAATGTAACTAACCACAAAGCCAAGGAAATTTTTGCCATTATGTTAAATCATAATTTTAATTTCATATATAAGGCTTAACTTTAATTAATCGAATATGGAAACAATTATGCGAAGAAAAGTATTTTGGCTTTAGCAATACAAATTAGAACCGTAATGCGGCCAAAATTAATATTATCGGTTACTGATGCCCTTGAGCAAAGTAATTAAACAGGTTTAAAAAAATTACCAGCTCATGAAGCATTGTTTGTGATGGGCATGATACTGCTAGGCGAACAATATGATATAAGGTGTATCTAAAATTGCAGGAGTTCAAACTCCACTGAGCCGTAACCTGCTTTATTTCCCTATCTGATAAGCAAGTAAGCATAAGGGAGTGATCAATACAAATTTTATTATGAGGGAGTTTTGATTTATTTCCTTCTCATGAACAGGAAATTCGTCTCACCGCTCTTCGATGCAGCCGGCAGTAGGGTGCGTTGCAAATCGTTCTGCGAACAGTCAGACAAAATAGTATTTTGACAGAATTATGTCATATCATGCAAAACTTTTGCAGTTACACATTTTTGCTTTGTCTCACCCTTCACAAAAAATTAGCCTGAGGCCATTTAAATTTAAAAAATTAATTTTATTTCAATTTTTATCAGCATGTCCTAAAACCGCTTACCAGCGACAAGATCGATTGGAGTAGAGGTTGAATGATCCCGATTTAATGAAAGTGATGAACATCGATAGTATTGAAAATGACGTATGGAAAAGAGAACGGAAATTTTCTTGAATTAGAAAAGGAACTATTAGAAATGATCACTGATCAAACAGTAGGTAGGTAAAGGTCGCAGAATTAA